AGTGTATTCAACCCCAATATCACATAGATCCAGAAATGCGGGGAAGCAGGATAAACCGCAAAACGGTGCGTGACGAGGGTTATAATGAATGATCTAATCGACACTTGCGAATTGTTCCCTAATCACAGAAATAGAGATAAGATTAAAAAAAGTCCTCAACTAACGTATAGTTGTATATAAATTAAATGTTTTATCGAAAAAAATTCAACGCAATGATGTGGTCGTTTATATTTATATATATACATATATATATAGACAATAGAAATAATATAATTATTCAATAAAAATAAAGTACAAAAAAAAACATTAAACATGAAGTATAAATTAATTAAGTACGTGTATAATTTTAATTATATTATTATAATTATAATTCGACATTTTTGGAACACTCTATATAATAATTGAGTTTTTCTCATTGTGTGCTATGTACTTCACTGAAATTTGAACGAGGCAATTACGTGATAGCGTTAATTCAACTCCAATTAATAAATGGTTTCACATTTCACGTTAGAGCAACAGTTGGAAAGCAAGGCAAATTTTAATTTTTTTACTCGCTCCGGAGATGAGCAGAAGATAGCGACCCGAAATAATACAGCAATCAATTGCGCTTCAATTAACATTCCGTATCAAAATTTATGACATTATAAGAAAACTATTATATATCTAATTTAATGCTAATATTTATAGATAAAATATTTATTAACATTCTAATTAGATATAGATATATAAATTATTTAATAACAAACAACAATGAATTAATAAATAAAAAATGATATGAAGAAGTAAAAAATATTATAAATTATACAAAATTAAAATTATAAATTATATCATTATTATATAATCATAAATTTACATGCCAACGATATATACAGGCGTTACATATATTGCGTGGTTAAATATTTTAAACATACATCGAGAGTATGTTCGAGAAACTCCATGATTTTTAATACCAACCGTGAATACCACATTGGGCGTGGGTAATGGCATTAATTATGCAGGCAATTAACATTTGAGCCACCCCTTGCAAGTGGGTATCATTTTACGGGGCCGTTCTTCCCCTTCGTCATCGATCTAAATATGTCATCTACTATACCGGTACGATGTAGTGGCACGATACGACCCTCTTCCAAGTGTACAATTGAGAACCGCCTTGCGCACTTACGCGCAATAATATTCGCCACGTGTGTATCACCAACTATGTATTATCACTGATATCTAACGGGAACGTCAATTTTTGCGACTACTAGGGGAGCAACCCCATCTTTGCTCTTTTCAGGATTATAGATTAAGTCGAAGATAGAATATAATTTACGTTACAAAAAACTTGAATATATTATATAGATCGATATTGTTTGATTTCTTTCTCAAACTCAGTTAATTCTTGAATTTTAATAATTATTTTTTTATTAATTAAAAGATTGCGATTATAGAGTTATAATATTTTTCACATCTATAGTAAAATACACTTGATTCTAAAATTATTGTATACAATACGTAATTGTAATGGATGCGTAATTGTAATGGACGCAAAAGTTATGTTAAAACATTTTATCAGAGAAGAGAGAGGGAAAGTAGACAAAGAAAACAGTTCGACTAAAACATTTAATGGAAATCGCGCACATGTGTATAAAAAAATAGAAGCTGCAAAACCGCGTCGCTAATCCCCGTTTGGATTCTGTCAGTTTTATTTTACAACGGTGAAATATGCAACGATGCGTTTGTTGTGTTGTGCTACGCAAAAGTATATTTTTTTGCTTACAACGACTTGAATTTTTTAACCGCGGTGTTCTCACGATATATATATATATATATACCTACATTTTAACGGATGGCGCAACTCGTACTCGTGACCAGACTACCAGTCTACCATATATTTAGTAGTAAACTAAACGGATATAGCAAATATAGCTGACTTTTGCCATAAAATTTCTCTTTTTCTACTCCCTCTTTTCATTTTCTTTCTTTTTCTTCCTCTCTCTCTTTCCTCCCTCGCTTTTTCTATTTTTGTTTATCTATCACAAAACAAGATATTGCCCTTATTGCAATCGTGAATGTATTATAATTCTGACACACACACAGATACAAATTGCTGTGTTTCATATAAAATTTAATTACAAAATAACAAAATTTTGTGAAATAAAATAAAATAACAAAATAAAAGGATAAAATAATAAAATTTTGTTAAATAGGATAAAATTCACTTGACTAGATATATTGACTATATATATATGTACGTTCAAAGAGCAATATTAAATATTACAATCTATTGTACGAGATCTATTGTACGAGATCTATTGTACTTTTTTTATAACACATACACACATATAGCACTTAACGTGTCATATTGGTTTTCATATCCTTATTTGAATTTTTGTAGAAAAACGAGCTAAAATTTAGTACATTAAACGATCTTTAATAACAAAGTAAACTGTCAAAACTTTAAAGCGAAGATTAATGAGTGCATTAATGGATTTTGAAATTAGCTTGCCGTATGATCTATATGAAAAAAGGATTAATGAAATATGTATTTATCAATAATTATAAACCTGTCTCAAGTATTCTATCTCTAAATGATCTTCGTCGCAGTTTTGCGTAACACCCTAACAAATTTCCAGTTAGAGAACTATAATCGCGATATATATTATAACAATTAAAAATTTACAGCATTATACAGGAGGTAATTATATGTATACTAAACTATACAGATTGTATCAAAAACTGAGATTAATCGATGGAGATTAAGTGATGGAAGTCATCCTGTTGTTCAAAACGAAAAAAGTATAATTTTATTTGAATTCTCTATCGTTTTTTTCGAACTCCAGCGTAATACATATTAATAGTCTTTTGTACATATAAAAAAATATACGTTCAGCATAACTTCAACTTTGATTAATTTAATTAGCGATTATTTCATCAGTAAATACATGCAATATTTAAGTATAATATGGATAAAATTATTAATTATTTAACACATGAACAGAAAGATTAGATTAAGAACGACAAATTGTATAGCTAGAAATTTTACTGTTGATAATTTTGTCAGTTGAATTAATCGTCGATTAAATTAATAAGAATTCGGCATATAATTCCAGCATTAATTAATTAAATTAATTATATTAATTAAATTAATAAATATTCATGCATTTATTTTTGATATATATGTATATATATAATAGTGCAGATTGAATTTATGAAAACATGCACGAGAACCATTTTGAACATTTTGAACAATTTGCTTCAATAATGGAAATATCATTCACACGGTTGTTATTCTGTTCCATAATCAAGAATGTGCACTGCTTTCTAACGAATTATTGTTGCCCGTATAATAACAAAGATTGTTACGGAATCTCTGAAGTGTTATATTTACTAAAACACAACCGATACAGGAAAAATTTAAATAATATTTTTAGTAGAATGTATGGGGAGCTGGAGAAGAGTAACAGTGATTCCAGGAATATTCGATGCATTATTCTAGCGAAATTGCAACTGGAATGATTATCATTGTCGTCCCTAAACTTTGACGGCGGCATTGGTGTCGACATCGGGACACTGTTACTCGTGGAAGCGCATTCACACGTTTCGCATTAACGGGGCCAAACGATTAATTCGGCTGCCACCGCAGATGAATATTCATAAGGAACGATCTTCATCTTAGAACGCCTATTTGCAAGGCCATATTGCCGTCGAAAAGACCTTCACGACAGAGAAACGGTTAGTTAGAGAACGGTTAGAAGAAAAAGTATAGCGAAAAAATGTATCCGTAACGACGTCGACCTAGTCTGTGAAAGCCGCTGCGTGTATGTATTAGAGACAAGCAGCCGCTATTCTCGGCGACGATGTACTCGAGTACCGTGCAATGCTTAGGTGAACAAAAACTAAAGTTTAAAAGTCAAAGTTTAAAAAGTCGAGTAAAGTTTAAAATTTTTGAAAATATACAAATAAAAGAATTGCTTCTCTCTTACATATTTACTTTTTTTATATTTATAAAATAATATTTCTATTAATAAAGATTTTCCTATTTTTAAAATAAAGAGAACATGTCATACAAAAAAATTTTATGTTACATTTTCAACTTGCTTTTTCGGTAAATCTTGACATTAACTCACACCTCACGGAGAGAGATCAATCACTTTTCTTTTGACATATATTGTAAATGGATGATACAAATACGAAAGTTGTGATAGCATTTTAAAGTCGCATATTTCAAAAACGAAAAGAAAGCGCCGCATAATTCAAAGCGAGTATTACTTAAGAATATATCCTTTACAATATTTTATATAAAAAAAAAGTAATCCGTGAAGTGTAAGTAAATATCAAGATTTAACTTCTTTTTCCTCATGTATTCATTTTCATTTGAAAATTAATCTTAATTACTATCTTAAAATAATAAAGAAATTGATAGTAAATTACTACCAATATATATAGAGTTAACTCTGATATAATGTAATCACCAATACTAAAATAATATAATTCTACATATATATAATACTAATAATAAATTAGAGAGAATCTTGAGAGAAAAGAAAGAGAGAGAGAGAGAGAGAGAGAGAGAGAGAGAGGACCATTAATCTAAGAACTAAGTCCACGTGTAAAAAGAGAAGGCAGCACGTGTTGTCGGAAGCGAAGAAGGTGCTTCGACAGCTATGAAATTCATCGATTCAATAGCTATGAAAACCTGAGGCACATCATCGATCAATCCAATGAGTAAAGAAAAATGAAATGCCGGAAGATCGATGATTCAGGCCGAAGCTTAGTTTGAAGATTTCCAGAAATACCTCGTAGTTTTCTTCTTCTTTTTCTTTTATGGATGTCTCTCTTTTTAGCACTATTACTTTTTCTTCTTCCTATTCTTTTTCTCTCTATCTGTCAAATCGTTTCATATAAAATGTCGATTTTATATTAATATAATATAGATAATGCGTGCGATCTCAACATTTTCAATTCCAAAAATGTTATCACAGCCGACGTTATATGCATATTGTACATACATCGTTATATTTGAACCCTCGCCAATGTCCGCTACTGACGACGGAAAGCTCGCGACTAACCCAGTAGTCGTTAACTCGAGTGCCTCCCACCCCTCATTAAGGTCGATAACTTTAATCACCGCTTGCGCATCCACTCTCGTCGTTCCTATTTCGTGCCAGTCAACAACGATGGCATCAGCCAGTGTATGTCACTTTGTAGTCATCTACGTTTATCGTCGCATAGGGAGATCGTCTGCTCTTTTGCAAGTGCAGGTTGGTACAGCGTTAATAAGTTTTAAAAATGTAATCAATTGCAAATGTGTTTTTTAAATAATATTAGTTTATAATTAATTATCACTTGTAACTAATTACCATTGGTGTAATCATATAACTCATCATAGTACAATAGTTTTCAAAAACTCATATCTTTTTATAAGCACACACGTTAATCTCATATTTAAATAAAATTTTTGTGTAATTAATTTTAAAAACATTTCAAAATTACAAATTAATACGATTGTAGTTTTAACAAATTAAAAAAGAAATATATATATATATATATATATATACAGTGTTAAATATTTAATAATTAAATAATAAAATAAGTTGTACTATATAAGTATTCTCTCATTAATTATAACTAGCTACTGAATTAATTCTCAAACAGAGTCATATGGACATGAAAATCGATGAATAAAGAATCAAGAAAATAATAATATTACTGGAAAAACGCGTAACCCAAATCGGTATCTCACACTCAACGATGATCCGTGCCTTACGTCAATTTTTCGGCAGTATTATATACCGTGAAATCGTAAACGGCCAACGTTATCGGTTCACGTGTCCTAACGCAATAACCGTGTATATCTTTACGGTATAATTTCCTTCAGACTAAAACACCCTCTTTCGAAAGCACAATCCTTCTTGCCAGACAGCAGAATAACCGTCAGGGTATGAACAGTGTGTTATTTTCTTCGACAAAATTAACTATCGTTTTACATTTCTTAAAAAGGATACTAGGATACTGTGTGTGGCATATATATTCGCGTATATAAATATATAATTAACTATAGTGATATAGTACAGAATGTATTATATAAAACTTTATACTTTAAACACATCTGTTCTCTACATTTTATTCTTTCTAAGAGATCGTTTTCGATTTATTTATAAATAAATTATAAAATCAGAAAATTCAAAAACTTTTTAAAAAGCAATTAAATATTTATTATCTGTATATCTAGTAATTGTTTTTATTTCTGATTAAAATCTCATACCATAAAAATTTTATTTTTTTTAAATAATTATAATTTAAATATATATCTTATTAAAAATATTTTAAATATATATTAAAATAGATAATTAAAAATATTTTTCAATCTTTATAATTTAAATATACTCTAATTTTTGTATCGATTTTAAAACTAAAAAATTCCATTTTCTTTTCTCCATTATTAAAATTAATTTATAATAAAATTCGTACATCTATAATGAAACAATGATTTACCAAATTAATTCTTCTTTAATATTGGACATGTTGAAAGATAATTTTTGGATGCAGAAAATATTAACATATTTCATAAACCCAAAAATTATCTTTTCTGGACGCACATCTGCTGGTTATAAATATGTTTCTCCGCGAATATTTGAATAAACAATATATTCGGTCATTTTAATCACAAAAATAGGTTTTGAATTAACCAACGAGAAATTTTGTCCATCTTCTTCTGCAGATCCGACGATAGAATCTGACGAGAAACCATCAGACATCGAACGTGTCGAATATTAATGCGCGCTGGCAAAGAGACTTATTGATCACTGCATAATCCCAAAAGTGAGGGAGATAGAGAAAGAGAGAGAGAGAGAGAGAGAGAGAGAGAGAAACTATGAATTTCGGAATCTATTTCCGATTCGTGAATTCATACACGAAATTTGCATGGTACTTCCGTGAGGAAATCTCGAAATCTATCTTGGACTTCATTTGATATTTGAAACATAGCAAGTTCATGTGTGTTAATCGAGAAAAATATATCATTAATTTTGACTCCCCAATAGTACAATGGGAATAAATATTAAGTAAACAATATTTAACACACAGACATAGACAACGTACATGATATACATACATACAAATTTATATATTTATAATTAATTAAAAACATATTAAAATTATATTAAAAATATATTAAATATGTTATTATAAACATTTTATTATTATAAACAATTATTATTAATATTTTTATCCATAAATGTTTTTCTCAAGAAATACTTGATAAAATTGATGATTGAAAATGCTAGAAATAATTGATAAAATTCAAGCAGAAGTAAGAAAATCACGGGAGGGTTGCTGTATTAATTTCATTTAAGAGCATTCAGCTGTAAGCAGCTGATAACGAATAGATAATAACTAACAATTAAAAATATTTTCAGTAAATGTGAGAAAGTTAATTTCTATATATACAGAATGTTCAAAAAATAAGCTTGTTTATATGTTACAGATATTGTATGTTTAATCGAATAACAGATATCAATTTTGTCAGAAGTTTTAATAGTCAATTTTAGTAAATCGAATGAATTCGTATTTTTATTTATCACGTGCAATAGTGAAGCAAATTACTAAAAAATCATTATAACTCTAAACAGAAGATTGATTTTTCAACCCATACTCATTAAGCATTTTTTACTTGTCTTATTATTAATATTATCTACTATATAAATTTTCAATCCTTTTTTATATAAAAATATCCTATATAGCGTTTATATTATCTATTGTATTTATAATCAGAAATTATCAATACCATAATAATCTTATCTCTTATAAATTTATTTAAATTTATATATATTTTTTAACATTAGTTTTAGTTTTTTATTTTTTTGTATATTCTACAAAATAAAAACTTTTTTTTTTAGATATAGGCAAGTTAGTCATGACTACTAGATCAAGTAATCGCATTACATTGGTAACTCCAATCGCGCATAATTTTAACGCGATTGTGAATAGTTTCTTCGTAAATTGCAAACATCTCAATTGTTCTCAATTGTCCTGCGTATGCAACAAGTGGTCGCAATCATGCCAGCGAATCGTTCGTCTCAGCGTCCGATATCCCGGGAGGGTTCTGTAGCAGTCGTGCCAGGTCAGCATGAGTATGACCAGAAGTAGCAAACAAGCACCAGCCTTTTGGATCAAGGAAAAAACCAGCTGGTGCTGGTTAATTTAGTAAATCCAGTAAGATTACACTACCGTCATTCTATAAAAACTTACGCTTATGTATATAAATTTGCACATATCGAACTGACATTTCTGAATAGTATGTTACTACAGACGCAAGTAAATTTTACAACTAACTGTTCAACTCTCTGGAAAAATATTAGATCCAACATTATTCTTGCGCCTTCTTGAAATGGTAAATATAAAACTATAAAAATGAGAATCGTTATACAGCGAAAGAAATGAGAGGCGAGTGTATCTGCCGTGTATTTTGCTGTAATGAGATGAAAGATGAAAAACCTACAACCTATCTTCATCATCTAAAGAATTTTTAACAATGGAACAGTGTAACGGTCCAATTGTACGAGCTCTTTTTGAAACAGCTCGATCAGGTACGTGAAATTTTAGACGCGAATTTTAAACGTTAAACCATCAGTTCTCGCACTGCACACATCGGGAGGTACACTAGCCGTGAAAAATAACATAAAAGATAAACTTTCACGTATGACAAGTACTGTAAAAACGCTCTCACGTTGCAAGTTGAAAGGTTCGTAAAAAAAACTAGAGAAAATGTTATAGCCTTGCCAAGGATATTTGCAAAGCCGAGAATAGTAATTCGTAGCACGTTTACCAGCACAAATTATTAAAGTCAATCCAGTCATCTATATTATTAGCTAAGCTGGAAAACTAGTTAAAGTTCCGCAGTTTGAGACAACCTTAAGTCCTATATCTTTACAAAATCATCTCGCCATTTTAAATCATAATTCAGAAATTAGATTTTTAGTTCATACTGGTACAAATATATTAATCCTATCAAAGAGAATGCTAATCAAGCATATTCGATAAATCTTAAATTTTTTGCAAGAATTGCAAGACTCTTAATTATATACTTAACAAATATCACGTATCTAAATAATATAAAAATGTTACTTCACTATATATAAAACAGTGAATCTCCATAATATATTAAAATTAAAAGTACACAAGATTAGTATAGAGTAGCCTAGATCTATGCGTTAAAAATGTTATTTTTGTATAATTCGTAATTATTTATTGAATTATTATTTAAATGTAAACGTAAATATATAAACTTTTTATTTTTGATAAGAAGAAATATTTATGATAAGTATCCGATCACCGAAACCAGCTCCAATAAGTTTGCAACTTTTCGCCTGAAGCAAGGTATATTCCATATCATTCGGTACTTTCAATTTGACACGAGATCTATACATATACGATCCAATACGGGTGTCCAACTTTTCGCGCAAAGCGTGGAAAGTAGAAAATCCATATGGAATAATATAATTATATGTAAATCTTTCTCTCTGTCATTTTGCATAGAAAGCACTGAAAAATGTCAAATAGATTTTGCTTTACGTGAATAGTTGCAAGCGTTTATATAAAAACGTACAATTGTAAATCTGATAATAGTAGCTTTTATTTTTTTATTCGTTAAAAGAAATAATTAACAAATAACAGAATTTTTATTTTTGTTATATATATTTAAATATAGATTTTTTTATCATTATATAACAAATAATAATGGATAATAGCAAAAATTATTTATTGTATAGCATTTATTAAATACTAGCTTTCAACTTTGTATTGATACTTGATTTCAATGAAATAAAAGTGTAAAGAATTTTTATATAATATTTTTGATATAGTATAATATATACAGGATACCCCAAAACTACCAAAAGTTCTTTTAATAACAGATTCTTTGATTAATTTAGAGACACTTTTGCTTCAGCAAAAATGTCGAAGGAGAACATCATTTTTTGCAAGTTTGCAGTTTTTGCTATCATATATCTTTGTAACTAAGTTTAAATTAAAATTATATTAAAATAAACTCCGTCTAAAATTAATTGAAGAATGTTTCCAAATTAGTTTTGTCAATCTTTTAATTATACAAAGTTTAAGTTACAAAAAGCTCTTCTTTTTTCTTCAATCGTTTATAATTTAGAAATTATTGATGCCTCGACATTTTTATTAAAAATTCTTTTCAAATTAGCGAGAAAATTTGTTATTAAAAAGTGATTTTGGAACATTCTGTATATAAAAT